CAGTAATGAATATAGACTCGTATTGAAATTTAATAATTGAAAATTATGAAAAGGTTGAAATTACATAAAACTAATGCCATATGACCTTTATGTTTATGCCACAATCCACTGAAAGAATGAATTATCTACTGGATTTCTGAAAATATAAGTCTGAAAGAAGTGTACTACTAAATGAGAAGTAACAATCTCAGTTAAAAAAAAAAACAACACAAATACCCCCCACACCCCAAAAAAACCCCAGCAAGACAACAGAATATTCTGCTTGTTAAAAACTTGGTGCCTAAAGAGTAGAAATCATCACATGATGTGCCTGTTCTTTATATAGTTCACGTCTCTCAACTTGAACAGATAGCTGCTGTCATAGGTTGAAGAAAACGTACAAGAAAAGTGTCAAACTGAAGAGCATGACTTTGCATTGAAAAGAGGGGGGCCACTTTTGGCAAGACAACACCAATGAAAGCCTAAATACATTTCACTTTCAAACCCACTGAAAGAGAACCTCCTGAAGACAGGACTGCTGTTACTGCCGCCTGTGTCTCTATGAGCTGCTCATAACAGAACTGAGACAAGGAGAAATAGAAAAAAAACAAACCCACAAACCAAAACAAAAACCTTAAAACACAAATAAGAATACTTTTGGACATAAAGCTGATTAAGGAATATAAACCTATCTCCTACTTTTATGAATATAAAACAGCTTTTCTGGCAAAACAATAAGCTTGTAGCAGATTAAGAATACCAGAAATAAACCTAGAGTCCTAAGTTAAAGGCATCAATACTGGTTTAGTGCCCAATTAGTACAAGTCAGAATATTTACTAAAAAAACCCCCAAACCCCACGCCCCCACCCCAAAACCAGTCTTGATGGGAAACTTTATAATGTCCTAAGAAAGATATACTCAAAAAATTTAATCTTTAACAGTAATTCCAACCATTCTGTTTCAAGCAACTGAGAGGTTTTGTTTCAATAAAAATGTTAAAAAGCAATGAGAACATCTTTCTTTAACTTAATACATAAAAGTAGTAGCAAGTCTGTAGTTAACAGAAGGCAAGTCATCATGCTATACAAATTAAGTCAAAGTCTAGTTCCTTATCCTTTGGAAAAGAAAAAATTTGACAACAGTAGCCTTTTTCCTTTTGGCTGATTGCCATGGTAGGAAGCGGAGGTTGGGGACAGAAAAGCAACACAACGCTGTGATGTGTGTAGTAAAATGAAAGCAGCAGCTTCCAGGAAGTTTCTGGTCTCAAACTACCAAAAGGACACAGATTAGGGGTCAGGGCAGCTGACAAGTGCTCATATAATATTTATTTATGAATCAGTCTCACCTTTTAATGCACCAATTCAGAAGAACTTGGTGTTAAATATGTATTTCATTAATTCAGGTCCAATTATCAAATAAGTTTATAACTACAGACAAATTTTTATTCACATATATTACCCACTACCAGAGTCTGAGGCTTATCTATATATAAACAGTGAAACTTACTTGGAACATATGCATGCATATCCATGGGTAATTTGAAGAGTTCAAATTAAAGAATACTTCAGAGATTTACTACCTAATGAAGGTTAGTCTGTGTAATATAGAAAGTTTAGTTTAGAAACAGAACTTTTACTTTTCAGAAATACTGTTACAAAGTGGAAATTTCAGAAAGCCAATAGCAAATTTATACCAGGTTAGTGTTTCAGCAAAAGACAGTCCTTGCAAAGTCAAAGTTAACAGTATTAAAAGTTACACAAATCCGAAAATGTGCTTGTAATTTACATATAAAAAGTGACAATGCAAGATCTGATTTTCAGTGACCTTAATACATTTTCAGAGTCCATAGTTGAATCCATATACTCCTCCCCTAAGCTATTATTTGAACTGACACATGATTACACTGTTTAAGATTTGCATCAAATCATTCACAAGTCTGCCACTGCTGCCTGTTTTTAAAGATCTATGCTGGTATGCGGGTTGCAGCTTCCTCTTCTGCGTCAGCTCTGTTAGCATTTATTTCTGCCAGTGTTCGACCAAATCGAGTCCACTCATCATTGCGAGGAACGGCAATTTGCTGTCGACAAAGAGAATGTTATTTAAACCTACAAATAAAAACTGAGTTAATTTTGAACAGCAGAGCACTTAAGTAGTGTTCAGAAGAGGTTCCTATGGAGAAGCTTACCTTTATTTAGTGTATCTTTTAAAATAGTCTGAACATCAAAAGCTCTAACTAATAAAAGCAGAATTTGAGAATCCTGTATTTAAGTATGTAATGATACTATTACAAGCGTGCATGGTACGTTTCCATCTGAGAGACTGCCTCCAAAAGGGAATACTAATGCCCTATTGTCATCCAATCAATTAGTTATGTACTACTGCAGTACACATACTTGCAGTAGCAACAGCTTCCCTGTAGGAATGAAGTCAAGACTGCTTCACTGCAAAAATTTTTTGTTCAGTACTTCTCAAGCTATTGTCAAAATTCACATGTGCCACAGTTACAAAGAAGATAAAATCTCTACAAACAAAACCGTTGACTCTTTCATCTTATTTCACCAGCCCTACAATAATGTTTTTACTTTTTGATTGGCTGCCAGATAGCATGCTAAAAAGTTGTGCTAGAATACCTGAAATAGACACAAAAAGGAAACATTAATTTGAAAATAAAAATTAAACCTTACTCCTCTAATCATAGGGGAAAGAAGTTAAAAGCAAGTTGCTAAACAAAAGTCAAAGAAACTCCAGTGTTTTGTAATGTATTTTGCACAATACATGGTATACATACCTCTCCCACATCATATATAACTATTTGTCCCTCTGAATCACCTACAGCAATCTCTCTCCCCGAATGTGTCCATCTCACACGGTTCAGAGCAGGGTTGCCCTCCACAGTAATGCTTGCAGTTGGCACCTGTATCCATTTAAAACACATTGCTAAAAATGCACAAGGATTCCACGTGCTACAGATGACAGAACACACCTAGTCCCTCCGTGCTGTATCAAAAGGAGTGCCCAATATTTCAACTGATGCAGAGTACGTAGATCTCAAAGACTCTCAGTGGCCTTAAGCCATCACCAGTGACATGACCAAAACCGACACATATTTGGTCCCTTGGCCAAAGCACAAACATCCTCTATCAAAAGGCACATCTGCACTCTTGTCATGAGACAGGAGGCATAGACATGCATTCAGTCAGGCAGCAAGGAGGAGCCCTGGGATCCCAAGAAAGATTATGACAGAGGGCAGGGATGGCATCAGCTGCTTTGGCAGGTCAAACCCTGTCCGAAGTCTAGAACCATGTAATTCCAATTTGAAGACATGGGCTGGCGTATGGTCCTACGGAACTGCTCGTTCTGCTATCTGCAGTTTTAAGGTGGCGAAATTTAAGTACTGAGTATCTGTCAGGTTTTTCCTCTCACCTACCTCTAACAAGTGTAAGTCCCAGAAAAGGTTTATACTATAATTAAGTTTATAACTCGCACCAGAAAACCCAAACATGCAATTGTCTAAGTTTAGAAACAAATTACAAATTCACTGCAGTATTACTACAGCAATAGTAATATGGCAATAGGAACAATGGTGGTGTGTGGGTAACAGGTTTGCTCACGCTGTTAAGCTATAGGCTGCCAAGGCCACATTGGGGGATGTCTATAATCACTTTCACAACATGGATCAGTGTTACACCAACAGATGTTTTGCTCTCTTGTTACAGGTAAAACAATTTAATTACCGCTGTTATTCATGATAAGGAGTCATTTGAATTACAACCCCATAATCAAAGAATGGTATCTATTATGCAGGAACTACAGAATATTAAAGAACAACAAGAAACCAAACCAAAACACTATGGTAAATTCCTAACATTTTTTTCAAAGCATACAAAGGCTTTTCCAGCTCCAGTTGACTGTTAATCCAACTGCCTCACCTCAGTATCATTGTTGAGATTCCATAGGTCAAGCCTGCCCATCCCATCCACACAGGCAAACAAGGCAGGGTGAGTCGGAGACCACATCACATCATAAACATAATCTGAGTTGTCTTCAAAGGAGTACAGAGGTTTGTTATTCTGAAAAAAAAAGCAAACATAACAATGCAATACCCAAACTCTGCACTTCAAAATTATAAAGATAATGGGTAAAGCAAAACATAGAACTTCTCAACAGCATTATCAGCAGTAACTAAAGAGTGAGTCACATTTTGACTTACTTCAAAAAATGCCTCTGTAAAAAGCTGCCAAAATTTAATACTATTATTAAAGGGATGCTTTCCAAATCATGCAGCCTTTTTCCTGTCTGCTACTATAAAACAACCAATAGCAAGCCAATATTGTAAGAGATTGTAAATTTAATGCATTAAGAATCTTGCAGATCAAGCCAATGATAATTCAGTGGCAGCACCTCAGACTATTACTGGGAGATTCTAACTCTGCTTCCTCTGCTTTGCATTCCTCAGGGCATCAAACTAACAGAGAAATAGGCAATTCTGGCAATGGGAATGACAGATACTTCAATTGTGAGCCCCATGGAGTTTAACTGACATCAGTTTTGGTGCTGTCCCTTAGTCCCCCACAAAATTGTAGCAAAACATTTGCCTTATGTATAATACGAGTAACATTTTACATGATTCACATTGATTACATCGTAATCATTTTTGATAACACAGGGCAAAAGGATGAACAGAATGGATCAAAGTATACAGATGATGTACAATCTGAAAGCAAAGCTTTACGTTGTTAAGTATAGTTTTGTTCATCAGCTGTCTCCTCTTTGCAGGACTGCTGCTAGGAACCTAGAAAGCTTCACATGATTTAACTTCAGTTTACTGAAGTTTCTTAAATAGCTTACATTACAGCACCACCTTGTGTCAAGGACTACGAAGAAAACCACTGAACTATCTAAGTTACCTTAGTTGTCCAAAGCTTTACTGTCCAGTCAAAAGAAGAGGTGACAAAAAGATGTGAGAAGTCTACAGGTCCAACTGCTGCATGGCAGTTGATACCTGTGATTGGTCCCTGGTGTCCTTCAAACATCTCACTGATTCCAGCTTTGCTGTTTTAGAATATATAACCAAGGTTAATTTATCTGGAAACCATACACCTGCAGACAGAGACAGCACTGAAATGCAATTTAAATATAGCCACAAGAAGATTTTCCTGCTTTGTATGGATGTTATCCCACTGCAAAAGGCTTCATCACAACAGGACCACACAAGACCAGGCTTGAACATGGACCTTAACTTCAACATCTATTTTCTGCTAACCTTAAGTGCCAAAATATACCACAGGGAGAAGAGACTCTTTCAGCAGGTACCAGTCCACACATTTAACTACATGGTTCTCCAAGCAATAGCTAAAGCTTCCATTCATACAAAGAACAAAATCCAGTCCTTGGGAATGAGCATAAAACTTACACTGACTTAAGAGAAGTTGCGTGTACCTTATGAACACAGGGTTCAGACATAAAACAGTAACGATATATCGCTAATAGCCTCCTACCAGAAGTGATGAAAAAGAACAGGGGAACAGATGGGAAGGATGTTACACAAAAGTGATACAATTTTGGGTATTTTGGAACCAAAAAACTGTGCAGCAAGGGTGATGTGTATTTGAGATGAAACCTGGACACTCAAGTATATTTAAGAAAGCAATTGATAAGATACAGTCAGACAATTTCAAAATAGATTGAACAGCAGGAGAAAAGCTAGCCAATTTAAGATTTGTGCGTGACGTTACTGTACAATTATCTACAGAACCGATACGAAGCTTGGAATGTTCTGCTACAATTCAAATGAATAAAACCACAGTGACCTATGCTGCCCTCATCAACACAAACAACTCCTAGTCACTGAAGGCAGCATAGCACCAATTCAATATTCCAACCACTTCCACTTTTAATGAAGCTCTTACTCATGAAAAAGCACGCACTGGAATTCATATACAGCTATTTTGAAGTCCTTCAAGACAAAGGAGCAAATATGCGCTATAAATAATTTTAGGAGCGTAAAGCATGCAGGGACTCATCCTTTCACTATCTTTATTTCCTTTAAATAACCAAAGTTTGTATTCACCTGCCATGACGGCACGCAGTGTACACTGAGCCTTCTTCACTGCCAACAACGAAGTTGTTGACATCTCCAATAGGGAAGGACATGCAGGTAACAGCCACAGCCTTGGACTGTTTGTGAACAAGCTCCATGCTATCCTGTAGTAAAAAAATACCAGCAACTTACTTTAAAAAAAAACAAAACACAAAACCTGAAATATTAACAGCTACAAAGTCATTTAGATTTCTCAATAGGAGGGTTGGTTGGTTTGTTTTTCTTTATTTTACTTGTACAGAATTGGGCAGGAATAAGAACAGTTATTTCTTGTTAAAATTGTGTTCACCACTAACACAAGTGCAACAAAAAATATACAAAAGGATCAACAGACAATATTAGATTCCACAGGTAGGGAAATATTTTATCAAATACTTATCAACCTACCTTAAGTATAATTCTGTGTGTTAGGAAAATGTTTATTAATGCTTTTTAGATTCATTACATTTTTATAAAATATTCACCTGGAATAGATACTATATATATCCAAAGTTATCTTACCTGTGGTTGGGAAAGCATGTCCAGACTCCAGGAGCATATTTTCCCATCAGTTGAGATACTAATCAAATTATGAGCATTCTGGGTCCCAACAACATTTACACAGTACACTGGGTGCTAAGAAATGCAAAATACTATCAGAAAAAGGAATTTCCAAGTAGCAACCAATTCTGGAATAATTAATATACAGTAAAATATACAACTTCACTATTTAACTAAGCAAAAAAGATTGATCACAGTATGGTACAAAGAACACTCCCCTATAAACTCACACTTATTTTTCTGACACTTTGATTTTTATGAATAGCCCGGTTCTTCAGCGATAGCATTGGCAAAATATGGACATAAACATTTAAGCATTATCAATCAAGTGCACTGGACAGAGTTTACTAGAGGTAAATACATCTCAACAGGGAACAGTCCTTGAAGATATTTCACCCCCTACCGTGTGAGCAGCAGCTGAAAGTGGAGTTCTCTGCACTGGGGTTCTCTTATTGCTGCGATTATCCCATAGCACTATTTGGCCTGAGTACGTGCCACCAACCACCAGATTGGGATGAAATTTTGCAAAGGTAGCTGACATCACTGCTGACTGAAAGGGGAAAAAAAACAAAACCAAAACACCACACAACAACAAAGTACACAAAAAACCATTCAAAGATGCTATGTCTAAAACTAAAGAAAGTGGGACCAAATATCAGAGTAAGTTCTTTGCCTAGATTTATTCGATATACTATTTCACTGTCCAACAACTTAAGGATTCACAAACCCTTTGTGAACCCCTAACAGTCTTTTAGTTTTAATTTGTATTCATAAAATGAAGTTTTCCTCCTCTTTTCTTTCATATGTATACATTTGTATTCCCGCAGCATAGTTTGTTAGCAAAGGACTGCCCAGTAATGTGCAAGATTTTAATGATGTTTTGCCACATTCCGTGGTGATTTTCCTAGAGAATGCACAAATCTGTTTTGATACAATAAAGTTACTTTTGCAATCTGGGCTTTGACAGTAATCTGACAACACCAGATTAAATTTTGATTCAACTATGTAATTTTTAGAATTATGGCATTTTGAAAATAAAGTGGCTATCCCAGGCTTGGCATAATGGAAGAGATTTGCATGTTTTTATCTTTCAGAAAACTACTAGAAAACCTCCATCTGCCTTTTTTCTGATGCATATGTTTCTAGTTTTCATCTTTGCTCCATCTCCTCAGGCCATCTTCATTTTATTCAGTAAATTAAGCTCTAGTAGTACACAATCCCATTCAATCCCTTTATATACAAACCTTCTTTGTGGTTCAACCATTACACAAGAAGGTTTTTTTAGTTTTCAAATTAAAATAGGAAAACGAGTTCTCAAACAAGACTGAATTCTGAATGATGCCAGAAATTCTGAAACAGAATCATGTTTCTAAACTGAAACCTCTAGCTATCAACATCTGTTTGCGAATACACGTGGTTAAAGTGAATGCCAGCCCAATGAAATCATTATGTTGACAAGCATGAGGAAGGTATTTGTCCAAGTTCATCATCATAAAATCTTCAGCCTCCTGAGACAGAATCATACCTGGCAGTGAAAGACATACTCTGGGGTAGTTTTCTTGTACTTCATATTCCATACAAGGGCCACCCCATCAGGCTCATGAGGTGCATCCTCATTGTTGTTGTAAGAAGCTACAAGTAGTTCTGGGTACTGTATAATAAGTGAAAGAGACTCAAAGTAAGCAAGATGACCAGCTAATGGTCAAAACAGTCCTAGAATCTTTGTTTCCTTTCACCAAAATAGGGTTAAAAAAACCCAAAACCCATAACACAAAAAAACACATAAAACCCAAAAAACCAAAGCCACCTTACATTATATATAAATGAGAAATTGTCAATTAAAACTGCAATTGATTCAAATTTAGCACATAAAAGAGCATTAACATACACATTAGAGTCTTGTTCTGTCTTTCATCATAACTGGCTTTAAATGTAAAAAGCAGTGAGTGAGCTTTTTTAAGGGAAGCTAACAAACAGTTTGCAAACTATGGAGCATGTAAGGAACACATTTAGAAATACAGCCTGCATCAACTGTACCTACAGAAGAGTCAAGCACATAGAACTAGAAGAATTTAAAAAGATAACTGCTTAAGGTAAGCATTATTTTTTACCTGAGATGACCAGTCCAAACAACTGACAACACGATGCTTTGACCAACGTTCATCAAAAAACTGCCTATTTAAGGACAGTTTTGCTCCTGCTTGAATCTCTCTATAAAGGCAATTAGCAGATATTAATCTTAGATCATTTTTCAATTACAAATATTGCACATTCACAGTAAAGTCTTCAACATCCACATTACCCTTCTTTGTCTTCTAAGTCTCTTCCACTGTAGTCAAAGAAAATGTTGATTTGCTCAGAAAGGGCTCTTTCAACAATCCTTGTGGAGTGGTCAAAGAAACTTAAAAATTCTTCAGAATGCAAAATTTGTTGTTTTTCCTCTTCTGTAAGTTCATGAGGTGCAACTGGAAAAGAATTATACATACATTCTCTGGACTGCATACTTTCACCAATTCTTTCCAAGAAAGAAAAACAAGAATATTTATCATGCTGTTGGAAAATTTGTTTCCTAACATCCACAGATTTTAAATACATTTTTACATTTTATATTTTGCTAGCTGATTGTTAAAATGTAAATCAAATTGATTTCAACTTAATGGAAAAAAAGAAGTTGAAAATTTATGATGCTTTCCTTCACAGCACAGTCAGAATGTCTTGAAGTGAACCGTACCTTCTTCCTCCTCCTCTTTTTTTAATGTTTTTTCTTCCTCAGGTTCAACTAATGGTTTTGGTGCAACCACATCATCTTCATCTTCCTCATCTAAGGAGAAACATTATGGTAAGACTGTCAATGTTTTTTAAAGAGAAACAGTAACATTCCATACAAATCTCAAATAAGTTGATGTAAAATGGTATCATTTAGCTTAAAATGGTTATATTAGTAAAATGTAGTCCCCAGGATAATGTTATCTCAAACCAAAAGATCATTGGAACGCTGCCTACACCTGGATTTTAGTTGCACTAAATTATGTGGTTGCATAAACTGAAATAAGACACATAAGAAATTGTAAAGAATCCAAAGTGGAAACCTCTCTTACAAGCATTTATGATTCCACGCAAAACCATGTGGTGGATGCATGTTCTGTGTAACATACTGACACATTAATGCTGCAGAATAAAGAAAAATCAAATGTCTAAAATAGTCTACAGAGCAGCTGCTTACTTGTGATCTGAAACCACCAGAGTCTAATGGGTCTTCACATGGCATGAAGATGCCTTACATTAGCTTTCAGGTTGCTATTCTGAGAGGCAAATTTTGCTAAAGATAATAGCAGGAAGGTTACATTTTTTCTGTCATTCTAACTGCAAGTCTCATTATCGGTATCATGTTTGGCAATGAGAACTTTACAGCAAAATGTGTTTTCCCTAATTGCAATGAATAACATAAAATGTTAATGTTTGCGAATACTGACAAGGTTTACGGCGCTTTCTGCATTTCTACATTTTATTCTTTGAATACTGTAAACCAGAAAATAACTTTCAATTACTTAGTGTTTTGGAATATGCATTTCCTGGCTTTTCTTCATCTACCTTCTAGAATAAGCTTCTGAAAAGACTATTTTTATTGGTTAAACACCTATGTCATCTGTTTGTAAGTGAATGGCAGCAGGAGTCTGCTGCATGCCTCATCACAAGTAATGAGACAGTATTCAACAGGGACTAGGCTTGTTTGTTGCAGCCATCTCCCTGACCCATGTTCAAAGTTATCCAACAAAAAAAGTAAAAAAAAAAATCCACATGCATGCACAAAAAAAAAAAAAAGAAGGGGGGGGAGGGGGAAAGGGGTGGTCAAGGGATGGGAACCAGCTGCCAAGCCACGATCCCAGCAGCCAGGCCAGCTGACTAGATAGCAACAACCAGATGGTACTGCTAGGATTGTCTCTCTGCTATGAGGTGGCAATGGGATGGCACAACATTTTTCTGCCTGACTGCTTCCAATCATGTCTTTCCCCAATGGCAAGCCTGTGCAATTACCAGCACTCCAGGAGGCCTACAGACAAGCCTTTACCCTGCAAACAAAATACAGCTTGTAGGCCATACCAGCTGCCAAACCACACACATAGTGATAGGTCTAAAGAGGTCTGAAAATCTTTCTAACTCCATAGTATAGGCAATAAAAATATAACTGTACCTGCAGGAAAGAAAGCTTTAAATGACACTGTATAATGCACACAATAATACAAACTCCAACTTAATCAAAATGATAATGACGTATGCCAATCCTACATTACTTGAAATTGAGCGATTTTTACGTTCTGACAAGTTTACAGAACTAGGATAAATGGCATGAATGATTTCAATATATGCTCATACTTTTGAACCAAATGGTGAAGGTTAAAATCTTTCCTTTCAAGGGCCTCAATCAGCCACAAAGGAAAACAGTAATCACTGTCTTTTCAGCCAGCCCAACCGCATTTGTCAGCCCTTTCTCCGTCAATGCAGCCAGAGCAATCAACCTGCCAAACATTCAGAATGGAAAAACAATCTGAAAATACAGGGTATAATGCACCTGCCAGTGAAAATGGCCATTTCAAGAAAAGCTAGTGATCTCAGTGACCCTGCTGAGGAGGCGGTGGTGCAAAGGGGAAAGAACGCGTAAAAGAATTCTTAGTGATCTCCACTCTCTCGCACATTGACACTTCCTTACAAAGCATGCCAATTACAGCTTTTGTGCTACTTAAAAAAAAATGAAAGCTTTTTTGGGCAAAATAATCACGCAGAGAAACAGAAAGACACTGCTCCTTTTTAGATGGATTCGCATGTACAGCTGACTAGTAATCTGAAAACTGTGTAACTTGTAGGAATTCTAAAGAATGGAATTCTTAATATCAAATTGCTATAGGTGTGAACACTGATTAATTAAAAATGTAGTATGAGTTAACATACATGATTTTGAGAACAAATACAGGACCACATATCCACATTACAGCCACCTGGATAAAAATCCCCCTCTTCTTTGCCCTGCCAATCAATCTTGCAGATTTAAATGCCTTCAAATTTAGAAATTTAGTTTTGGGTCACCCTGGATATATTATTCTAGCTCTGAAAGTCCCAAATTAGAAATTTCAGCCCAACCCCCCCATCAGTCATACTACACTGATTCTAAGTACCATTTTCAGCGACAGGAGTCAAATTCTTGTCAAATGCAGATGGTCAACCCCTTAGTGCTAAGTGACCTTCTAATCTACATATTTTATTCAAAAGATCATATAGTTGATTGCTCCTGCCTTTTAATGTTTGAAACATAAATGGCATATATTATACAGAGCTCTAAATTCCTTCATAGTACTTTCACTGCATACAGCCAGCTGATATTACTGCATTTAAATGCAGGATACAGCACTTGTTTTAATATTCTCAAAGTATCAGACTTGAAATTGAACATGTCATCTCACTGTGATTTATCTGTAACTACATATATCTAAAACCTTCTCTCTGAAGAAAAGTCATATGTAAACTTTCTCATTAAGTGATCTGGAGGAAAAAAACCAAACCAAAACAAAACCACAACACAAATCAAAAAAACCCCTCATATACAAGTTCTTGACCTCATTATCTGAAACTAGGATGTTTTCTCACAGAAGTTTACAGTCAAAAAAGGCAGCATGAAGCTGTTGGACAGAAAAGAGAGAAGAAATTTTTGGTTTAATTGCTTCTCCTGTCTCTCCTTTATCTTGAATTTATTTAATAACAGGCCAGGTGTTGGTATCTGCAAGGAATTGGCATAATGACAACATATTACCCAGTAAACACTGAAAGACTGGACATACTATTTCTGAAAAAGTTCCATATCTAGTAAGTTAGGTACTCATGACACAGTGGTGTACTGCATCAGCTACATAAATTCGGAAACCTTAAAGGCACTGCCTAACTTCATCCTCCTTATTCATTATGGACTGTACCTACTAGTGGTTATGCCACTTCAATTGACAGTATATCAAATACAATTTCGTATTTAAAAAAAGGCTGCTAAGACTTAGAAAAGTCGTAAGGGCCATGAAGACAGGAAAAGGGACTCTATGTCACATCAACATAGTGTATTATAATGGATATTCATCAATAAGTGATTAACTCCATGTCATTTCTGACATGCTAACAGGGGATCTAAGGTTACAAACTGAGCAGTAAAGATTGCATAAAAATAGCAGCTACTCTAATAGCAACAAATTTCTTGTCAATGAATACTAAAACACAGGTTTAATGAACCACTGAATTTTTACTTTGATTTAACATCAAAATTGTATTTTGGCACGACAGAAAGAAAAGCGGTGTTGTAAATTAGTCTACACCTAGCAATAACACTATAGAGTGAAGTTCCAGTTGTCTGAGTAATCTGTTGCTGCAGAGTAGGTTAATCAAAGTTAAATCACCTGTGAAATGGGTGGCTTTTGTTAAGCCGAATGTCTTCATATCAAGTTTTCCCATCTATATTTCATCGTACATTTAAGGCACATACAGCATAATATATGAATATATAAGGGTCCATTATTTCTTTTAAAAATATTAAAGTGTAAAAACGCTACATTCACTGTAACAGCATCCAAGTAACCAATCCTGTACACCAAATTGTTATTACTCTGCTTAAGTCATAATTAAAAGGACAAAAATGCTTGATATTTTCTTTCTGCATCCTGGAGACTTTACCAGACAATAATTCCTCAAAGAGTGGAGCTAATGCAGTAATACCATCCGCAGTTAGTTGGGATTGCACATGCACAATATTGTACAGCAACACTAAATAACAAGTACCCCATTATCCCAGGAAAAGCCTTAATTTTGACAGCTAAGCAGAACCATATTCCCCTATATGCCTATTTTTCTTCGAATTAACTACTTCAAGAAGTCATAACACATGTTTATTGGGCATACTGGTGACTAATTTCTTTCCATGCGAATTTGAACAATATGTTAGCAAATCACAAAGGAAGAAGTCAAACAGTATAGCAGAGACCAGTGTAGCAAGAAGTATAGATAAGAAAAAAACCTGAGCACCAATGATTACAGTACTCTGTGTGGTGGCCAACATGGAGGCTGCAGAACATTAAGACATATACCAGAGTTCACACTTGAATTGCATCTGTTGCTGAAACTGCTTCCACTGCCTGCTAGAAAAAAATAAGTGTATGAAGGGGACACAATTTCAAATGTATTTTCAGAGTAGATCTGAAAAGCTGCTGCCTGCTACAGCATGCCAAATAGAGGATAAATAACAGCCCTAATAACCAGTTTGACCACGCTAAGAAACATGTCCACCAAAACTGGACAACGAGGGAAGCAGGCAGCAGTGTCATACGCAGCATCATGGGAAGCGAGAAATGGATTTAGACAGTAGAAAAGCGGATGGCAGAACACGGGGAATGGAGCAGCCTAAACACAGGATGTTCACATTATGATGGTGACAAAAGTTATTAGTGTAGTAAATGCATAAGAGATGTAGACGGTTAGGCTTGTTAATTATGAACTAAGGGAGAACAGCATCGAGTATGGCACAACACTTTTATCAAGCCAAAATAAATGGTCCCTAAACAAAAAAAGATGGCCATCATTACTGTATCATAGAATGACAAAAATCCAAAACACAGGAACAGGACATGCCAAGAGAACAAGAAGGAAAAAAAAAAAGTAGTACTGAAGATAGACATGTGTATTTTCATCAAAGCAAGAAGTTTGAGAACACCAAGACTGCCACCCTGACACCACTTCTTACTGTGTTTCTCTTGTTCTTTATCCTTAGTCACTGGTATACATGGGACCTTGAGGAAAGAGCAGCTGCAGGTTATATCCATCATACAAAAAGCCCATAAAACAAGTATTGCAGATTTACCTTTTAAGTCTACTGTGGAAGATGTCCACATCCAAAGTAAGGACTGTGAAATATATGTTTATTAACTTCAATTAATGGGGAAATTTAATATTCTATACTGTTCAGAATACAGTGAATGACTTCCCGTAGCAAAATACTTTGTGCTCTAAAGATGACTCAATCTCTAATCACAGAGTGAAACTGATTTCTAGAAGAGACCCTGATTTTATTGTTTTACAATATTATAAAAGGAATCAATCTCCCTAAGACAGGCAGTTTCTCAAATATTTCAAGGTCATAATAAATCAACATATTAGTACTGCAATAATGGAAGTTGAGAGAACTGTTAGCAGACTAAATGCCTCCATCTCCTACAGAAGCTGTCACATTTCAAAATTAAGTTGGGCATTGTATAAGATAAAGACAAGGCTATATACTACTTTGGATACAACATTTCAAAGGGGTGGGGGTGAAGAAATGTGAAAATGTCATAATTCCAGCAGTGATACTTTTTGTCTTAGCATAAAGAGGCTATAGTGTTACTAGCACTGAGGTCACATTCTAGCTCTTGCATTTAGGGCTGCATGCAAATGGGTCATTCTTTCATTACGAATGGAGAAGATCACTGGCTCAAAACAGTTGCAGCTGAGAAGCCTTGTACCTGCAAGACTGGCAGGGCGGGGGGAGTTACTTCATATTTGAATATTGTCTAGGATAGTGCAACATGTCTGCACCACACAGAAGTAGGAACATCTAAACTTAGTCTACCTCCCTCCTCTAGCTATGGAATTTTCCTGTTTGGGATTTCTCAACTACTGAATGCAGTCTTTTTATCAACTTCTGAGTTAAGTGACCTTCACATTTTAAAACCAGAACTGTTCAGGTGAAAGGTTCTTATTTAAATTTAACTGTTTGTTACACTGAATCCAAAATAGGCATCTCCAAAAGCCAGCTTTAAGTTGAGGACATGAAACCTCCCCTATGTAACTCACTTCATTTGTGTTGCCATAAATATTTCCATGACAATTAGGAACTGTTTTAGTTTAAAACTAGTTTACTCCTACTTCCTATCTGTCCCACCAGACAGACTGGTTGTAGTTTGACGGACTACACAACCATTTTGGCACACAGAAGTGGAACAAAGAGGACTCTTTTTTTAGTTTGGTGTTTTGTTGTTGGAGAACAGAAACTGCATAGGTTAATAAAGAAATTAGTTCCTTCTTTTAAAACTCAATGTATAAACTCCAGGTATAAAAATTCAAATTCTTAAGAAGTGTGGGGGAGTTAATCGCTAAGTTTGTTGTAAGGACACACAGCCTTCAAGTAAGTTGTGTGTGGATTCTTAAGTGTCATAAACGCAAGATATATCCCACTTTTATTCATCAGTTGTCAGCTAATTAAGCAACTCAGTGTCTCATCTGATCGTTTACTAGGAGCGAGAAAATACCCCATGTTAGTAATAAGAGTAATGTTAAACAAGATGTAGAATGGCAGTAACACTTAAGCAAGACCTACATGAATTTAATAATAGAATTTATATCAATTATCTCATATAACAACCTTCATTTACTTTATTAAGTTTCAAGATCACAAGTGCTGCTACTAATTCAGTCAGTCATTATTATAACAAAAGAAAGAAAAATAACTTAGGTAGTAAGAAGTTCACCATTCACCTTCCTTTGGCTGAGTCATAACAGGTGTTTGCGTCTCCTTTGTATATGTAACGATTTCTCGAGGAGGAAAGTCAACTTGTGTAATTTTGGCCATTCCAAGTTTAACAGGTCCACGTCTACATAAAATTAATAGAGAAATAAAAAAAACATTTAACTTTACAAATTACTTCACATATTGCCTAGAATAATATCCAAGTCACAGCACTGCTTAGTCAAACCCAGGGGAAACTTAACTCTGAAGAAGTCACCTGATTATGACTAATTTGTTATCATTATTATTTAAAATCAGCAGCTATTTATATATCTGCAAGAAAAAGAAAGATGTGCAAATATATAAATAAAAATATCTGGATTATAGGACATAATTCTAAAGTTTTGCTCTGTGGTTGACTAGGGTACTGCTACATATATGTCATCTCTCTATTTTCAGTGGAACAGATCTGCTCACATGAGTCATGTTTGTACAGCAATGGTTCTGGGATTTTAAAGCTTAAAAAAAACAGGTTAGTTATTCTGAAGGAAAAAGCATTTCCTAGTCCTTTTAACTTTGCTGCCCGTTTTTCTCTACCTTTAAGATACTATTTAGAATGCAGAACTGCAAGTCTAATCTGAAACTCACACTTTTATCCATAATACATTACTCCAGAATACGATACTGAAAACCTCTGAGCTTTCCTACTTTAGCGTATGGATGATCCCATAAACGCAGATATAGCTTGTGTGTGTGTGTGTATATACACACACACACAAACTACAATGCATAACATACTTCGAAAAGCCACACAACATTAATTCAGTCGTTGTAACTTCCTACAAAAGCTAATTTCAGTATGTATTGTAGTGATACTGCAATGATCCAACCACAATTTACCTATATCAAATTCAGTTTCTTATTATCCACCTCTCTAAGATAAAACAGAAAGAAAAAGAGTAACCCCTTTTGAAAGGTTCTGGTGGGCAGAATCATAATTCTTATAGCACGATATAGGTTTTAGTAAGTGCTTATAATGAGCTACAGCTTTTATAAACGTATTTGTAAGAAAAGACAGGAGTCACTGTTTTTAAATACAATTATTCTAAGCTTTTTATTTTAAAGAAATGACTTTTTAAAGTTTACATTTTGCCAAAGTCAGACTCAAACAGGAATAAGTTTTGTTATAAGAAATAAGTATCTTATGTATATTAAATAATATAAAAATTTCCCATTGCAAGCAAACTGCATTAAGTCTAGGGATAGTGAATTTCTGGTACTTACAGAACAGTCTCTTAACAACAACTTGAAGTCTTAAAGCAAAAATAAGCTCTTATCACCCGTAAGTACATGAAAGAGGGAATATAAGAAATCTATGCAATACCCCAGATCGGAATCAGAGTGGAGCTGAAGAACTGATGGATCAGTATCCCAATGCAGCGTCCTGATACCCCAGGTTGAACAATCATGCAGCATTAGCAAAAAAGGCCAGAGATTAGTGAAGCAAATACACACTATGAAATGCTAGAGTTACAGTAAGCTTATAGTTATTTCATTGTTCACAAGAAACAAAGCAATGTAACATCAGTTAAGGGAAATTCAGCAAACATTCAGTGTAATAATACATGCAGTAAATACAAAAGTTAAAAAGCAAACACGGAATTCAGAGCTATTAGGAAAGAATTACATTATTTTAAAAGATTGAAAGTTAAAGATCTGCAAACAAACATGGCCTTTACAAGAGGAAAATAAAAATATTTTAAATACTGACAAGAACCATTAAAAACTTCAAATTACTTTTAAAATCTGTTCAGGTTTGTTCCTGTCATATCAAGACAGATTTGTTAACGTAATGCAATCTTGCCCAGAGCAGTAAATATGTGGAGGAAACTGTCATATTGGTAGAGGAAATGAGTCAACACATAAGCCTTTTGGTAGCGGGGCAAAAATGCATTTCCACTGGGATAGAGAACTGCTAGAGTTTCCAAGATGTGACATTGCAGTAATTACGGGTTAAGCACTGCCTTGGGCTTGTAAGTGTCATCTGATCTAGAGCCAGCTCCATTTGAGGTATTTAAATCTCTTAGAAATAGTGGGCTTTATATTAATAACACAGTTCAAAGTCATGTGGAATAATGAACAGAATAGATCCATTTCAAGTCACTTTTGAACAGAAGAAATATGAAGGGGGAAATAAATGTTTCTTCTCCCCCCATTTTTAGCCTTTATCCCTTCTCCACAAATTTTCATTTAGTCTACTGCCTGCTATCAGGTTTAGGTAGAATTTTAAAACAAGCTTATAAGAGAGATTAACAGATGAACATGCATGGTTTTTCTGAAGTTCTTAGATGTTATTTTTTTTTTTAAATAATGTTTATAACAAATAAAAAGACTACGTAATACTTATCATAACAAAGTCAATAAAAAGTAATTTTACATTTCCATGCCATACATGGTAACGTTCTTATAAACCAGGCGCAGACCTCCTAAAGGTAAAGTTGATCTCAAAAATGTACAGACAATGCCATTAAAAGCTCATAAACATGGGTGTGTCATGCACTACCTTGTTCTTCTAGAAAGTATGCATTAGAAGAATAATTAATTAGTGTTTAATTAAGAATTACAAATCCACTGTCTTCATATTTAGCAAATCTTTCTACATAACTGCTATTGCATCCACAGCAATAGCTTAATACCTAAATCTCTAAAACCTTTCCATATCTTTTGTGCATCAGAAAACACACCATTTTACCATAAAGTTAATTACTGAGAGTATACTTATTCTTTGGGTCTCTGCTATTTTTCTTGATCAAATAGATTTATGCTTGGAGTTTAATTTGGTGCCTGAGACTTCAAGCTGGATATTGCTCATATGTTATTCAATCATGCATCAAAAAAAAAAAAAAAGGCAAAACCAAACCACTACCACACCCCCAACCTTCCTGTTGCTTCTGCAAAGGATGACTTATCTCCAGATCCAAATGCTGCATTACCACCATACTTGTCAAACATTGTCTCAACTTTTTGAATTCCACTTGAGAGGAACTTGGGGAAAGGGCTACCCCAATTTAAAAGGCTCCAACTTTTGTGCCTCTGTAAGACCTAGCCCTCACTGAGGTGGCCTTCCTGCTTTCAAAGCATTGTTTTAACCTTCAACATTTGCTTCAGTGGTACCAGGGATAGTCTGCCTTTTAAAATAGTTCAAGTCAACAGGCAGTATAGGAGATATAGTTAAATGTTTCTCAGAGATACTCTTTTAAAATAAAGGTAACATTCTGAGATAAAATTCACCTATTATATGTGTACCAAAATGATGTAAAATATTGTTCCTTTTGTCTTCCAGATGTTTGTTATGCCTTAAGTTAAATGAATTTATCTACAAGCTTCAGTGAACTGAAGTTCCTGTTCTTCCACATATGCCTGAACTTCTCTGTATCCAGACATATTTCTAACACTTCCTATATCTCTAAAATGTATTTTCTGTATTTAAACTAATTCTATGAAGCACCCACCTAAAAATAAACCAACTGTATTAATTTCCAGTCTTGAATTTATACTCTTAACTGAAGAAAAGAGAGAAAGAACAGTATCAAACTAGGAACCAAAACTCTTCACTGATGAAAATAAAGCAAGACAGTTGGAAGTAACAGCAGGAACACAGTCTGAACACTACTAATTACTAGATAAGTAAAGTTACTGGCAAGATGCAGCATCATAGAGGAGAAAAGACTAAGCTAACAAAGGAGATCATCTCTGTGAAATATATTTGCAGCATGACCAGGGAACAAATGGCCACAGATCAAAAAAACAAAAAACAACACAAAACCAAAAACCTGAAATAATACACTAATATGAAAAGCTTTGGTTTAAGATTATCAAGCATAGTGGAACAACTTCGGCTTTCTAACATATCTTATATTGATATGGAAGTCATCTGTAAAATGCCAGGTATAATGCTAAGGGATATCACACAGTCCAACTTCTCCCATTAACTTTCAGGTTCAAGTGTACACGCACATTACAAATGCTGTACAAACTTGTACTAATAGACTAGGATATAGACATCCGTTTACAGGGGCAGGGAAAGAATGTTATCCAGTGGTCAGAGAATAAGCAAGGGGACTCTAACTGACTCTATACAGCCTTCAATTTAACTATACATTCATACCTCCAGGCTTCAAGACCACAATCTTTTTATGCTTCCACATCTGGAAAATTGTCAAGAGATAAATTTAAAGTTTGCAAATGCATGAAGCTATAGAGGCTTAGGATACAAGTTTTCCCAAGGTTTCATAAGAAAACGTATGCATACATTATGTTACTACATCCGAGGAACATACAATCAAAGAGCACACTTATGAGGTGGAGATAAATCCAGTATATAACATGGGGTTCAATTACAGATATGTACACTATATGTATTGTTTCATATTGAATTTAAATTATGTATGAATGGAAAGAAATTTTTTTCATTAAAAAAAGTCATCACCAAATAATTATTGTTTTTTTCTTCTAGACATTGAATTTAAATATAAAACGACAATTTAATATACAATAATCACAGATTTCAAGTAATTTAAAATTTGCTTGTTACTCAGTTAAGGAACAATTATATTAGTTCTCTATTAACAGGACAGGTGAACTTCAATTGCATAGTGAATAAGGTATGCACAAGATCACACCTGGGCACTGTTTTTAAAAAAAAAAAAAAAGAGAGAGTTTGGGTTCATTAACTGCTTCCTGATGTATTCTCTGTTTTAACTTAATTGTTGCTACTTATAAATAGGCACCTTGTGACCTTTGTTCAGGTCATTAAAATCTTGAATATTTTCAGATTAAGATTGTATATAGTTACACATGCATAATCCATACACATACAGGACATGACCACAGCCTTTTAAAGATGTGTCAAAGCAGTGTAAGTATTCACTCTTTCTCCAAAACTACTTCTCATATAAGCACAAAAGGAACTGAAAACTGCGTTAGTTACTAGGCTTTAACTAAACTTCATGCACAATGCATACTCAGTAAGTTTTAAGTATATGAACTTAATCTGCTGGGAAAATACAAGTTACGAATATTAATAGGCAAATACTACTCTTATTTGCAGACTGCACGTGGGAAACAGTAGAAATACCCTTTGGAAGTAGTGTTTCCCACCTCATCACCCATATCTCGCCACTTTGAATTCTGAGTTTAACAGAAGTATTTCTCTGACTCTCTTTAGAGCAGCATTTCTCAAACTGTCATGCACAAAAGAAAAAAAATGGTCAAATAGATGTGGCCAGTACTGGAAGTGAAAAAAAACTGTGGCTGTACTAACATGGTGCTATGTTTTGGCCAAATGAGAGAGACTGTGAGGGGTATAGTTGTGTTACAGGGATGGCTGCAAAGTGAAATAACGAGAAATACTGTTCTGAGTAAGGAAAAAAATAAATTTAAAATCAGAAGCAATGCAAAGTTTGTAGATGGTATCTTTTATTAGACCAACCAGAATAGAGAGAAAAAAGGAAATTGCCTGTCATCTCTCCTCTAGAAAAAGCTGGGAAGAGCCCAGAAGTTGGACTCTTCCAGTTTTCTATTGTCCCGAGACATTCATGCTTACAAGAACATTACCACAAGACATTCAGACTCATTTTACTTTAAACAACTCCACACTAACATTGGAAATTTCAAATTAGAAAGTGCATTTCAAATTTTAAAGTAAAGTACTTCTCTAAAACAGTCACTGTTCACAAATCTAATAACACCATAACCTCATATGATTATATTATAATCAAGTAAGTAACCTCAACCCCGATTTCTTCTAAAGCTTAATTATGCAGAACACGAGTATTAAGCAAAGCAATATGACAAGAAAAGTGACATACCTAGATCCAACAGCGCCATCACCAGAGTCCTGGCTTCCAGCCTCACTTGGCGTACTCACAGATTTGGAAGACGGAGAGGTAGGAGGAGGGACTAAATAGTGAAACAGACAGGTATCCGCTGTTACTACTCGCAGAGGTTGCACAGCTTAGGATGTTTTCAAATTAATTTAACATGAAGTATTAAAAAAAAAAAAGATGGCAAACAAAAAATACATGGATGAAAAAGAACAGTAGAAAGAGAGGGGAAAAGACAATGTTAACAATTCATGCTGGACTTCCATGCAATTGTTTGGCATTTATGCATCTGGAGCATACAAAAAGACATGGAGGGAAAGACACTTAAGAGAAAATGAATTGATAATCTCTTTTTAAACTGAGCTTCTGACAAATGATGGCATCAATTTTCAAAGGGTAATTTCCACTAAATCATGTTGCTTAAACATAAAAGGAAGATAGTTGTTAATACAGCTTTGATACCAGTTTTTCTTAAAAATTAGACATTGAATGTATTTAACTGGTAATTTTGTTTCAAAATACAAAATTGTCGAAGGGTGGACCAAAAAAAGTGACAAAAAAGTGGCTTTGTCATACAGCATACTGTTATTTTTGTTCTAGTTTGAATCAAATCAACATAAATGCTGTATATTACAACAAAGTTTCCACTGTCAGGTTTTGGGGGATTTTGGCATTTTCTCTCTTTTTACTTGACAAACAATCTAGTAGTATTATATTGAAACTTTTTCTTAAAAGTCAGTTCATTTTCAGCATTTAGACGAAGATCGCAATTACCATTTAAAAAACAGCATGTTTTTTGGAACTGATACATAATAGTGAATGATATCATGCAATCTGATACAAACACAAAGCTATTTCAATATTTCTTTCAACTTTTCTTTTTAGAAATAGTGAAACTCATTATTTAATAAGACTTAGGGTTATGCTTAAGAATCAGGGGGTATGTTGAAGGACCTTATATGCTTCATTTTTCAGCAATATATAGAACATTCATAGAACACATTCACGCCTTAGCAACCCTTAAAAAGAACCTTTAATCAACTGAACACAAGTTATGTATAGAAACCAGTATCTACTCTGTCAGGGGTCCGGCAACAGAGAATTCTACATTTAGATCTGCAACATTTCTAGAGGATTTCCTAAAATCACAAGTATGTTGTGAATTCTGAAGAATGTTTGCATCCCATCCTAAAACAGAGACATGACTCTGGTTGACAAAAATTCTACCCTAAATTTACAAAATCACAGTGAATTATTCGACTTATTAAAAATTCATTCCTCCTACAGGAAAGACTTTTATATAGGTCTAGAGTTATACTTCATAAATTCATACATACACACGCTTAGACTTTATACTTATATAAACATGAGCGTATATATGTATTTTCTTCAACTCATCATCACCATCTACTGAATATACTAAAGGAAATGCCCATACGCCTTTATATTCCTACATTACTTTTGTGAGTTATCAGAAGGGATGACATTTTAACGTCACCCTTTCTTAACCGAAGAGGTGACATTGGCAACATACCCTGTCGCCACGTACAAAAGGCAGCCAGCTGCCCCCCGCAGCACGCACGGCCCCCAGAACCCCGAGGCGCAGTTTTGATGTCACAGCGCCCTCTGATGGGGCAAACTGTTTTCAAGAAAGTCTTCCCATTAGCGAGGTGAAACCTATTTAAAGACCAACAGTCTTACAAAGAGACCAAGTCAAATTCCACCTGCCCCAACAGAGGATGAAACTATCATACCTGCTTGAAAGTTAGTTTGGTTCACTAACTTAGGGCTTCTTATATAACGAGTACGGTAGATATCGAAAGCATACTTACATTGTTAAGGTCCCTTCTCCCATAAGCAAGCTACCTCTCTCCAGGGGTTAACAGGACAGGAATTGCCTCGGGAATTCTTAATACCATTTTCTATGAAGGAATCTAACCTCAAGCTATCCACCTACACCGACAATGCGAGCTCAAGCTACCTGCACATGAAGCTGGTCAGCTCTGTTCAGGTGTACGATCACTGTACTACGATACTTTGCCAGTATGCAGGCAGCAGGCCAAGCCTGTGCCTCAGGCATGCTGCTGCGAGGTAGCAAGTAGGGCATTTCAGCTTGATTTGGATCCAGATCAGATCTGGATATCTTGAAAGGGAACAGAACAAATTCCCTGCGAATCTGTGTACGTTGAAAGGTGTGGTTAAGTAGATGCTCAATGGAATTAAACAGAACACTCGCAGAGCTATGCCCCAGTCCTACACATCGGCACTGCAAAGAGCTTTTCACAGCTACTCGAAGTCTATGCAATTACCTGCTTTGAGGACTGACTATCCTGTGGGTTTTAGATTCTCTCTCATAGATTTAAAAAAACCCAACAACAACCATATGCATTTCTGCAAGAGTCTCATCAGCTGCCTTAGCAAAACCTCACACAAGAAAGCGTTCAACTATTAGTCTACCAAACAAAATCTCTAGGAGGTAAGAACTGATTACTTAAAACACTGTACACTAGTGCTAACATAGCCCAAATGCAGTCCCTAAACTTTGAGAACAATTCAAACTACCAAAAATGACTGCTATGGCTGTTGGAATGGGAGCAGCTATAATGGTGTTTATTCGATGTTCACTTTTTAACACTTGAGGACTATGGAAAACCAATTAGGAAGATATAATCAAAGATATAATATGTCTGTAACAAATTATTCTTTATTTGCAAACCCAGTTGAAATAGACCCTCACCACTGAGCCAAATTGAAAAATAAATTTTAAACCCCTTAGATTCCAGAGCTAGAGACAAAAAGTGAAGTTGAATTATCACCCTCTTCACTTTCATCTTCCAGAGAGATGTGGCTATGTAAAGGCAAAAAGCAACAACCAATATGCTTACCTATCCAAGAGTGGCACAGATACGAATCATCATCCTTGATAGTTAAATTTTATACCTAGCCTTGCTATTACTCCAAAGTCAGTCAGGTATTTGAGATAAGGAAAATTAGGGTGTAAAAGATGCAGAAAGGAAACAAGTCAACTCTGCACAAAAATATCAGAATTAAAATTTGGCATTATGAAAAAAAGAAAGAAAAAAATACAAAAGATTGATGCGCAGGGAAAATATTGGGGGGGGGGAGGAAGAGAACAACAAATACATGCTATTTATATATTTTAACTAAAAAACTCCAAATAATCCACTAAGTGTAAAACATATCTTTTACAAAACAGTATTAGTAACGTGTACCGAAGCACATTACTTGACATTTGTAACAGAGATCATGCAGGACAAAATACTACAAAAACCAGACGCATATAACCCAAAAAACAGTGGCCAGAGAATTTCCATGCTAGTTATATAAATATCACAATCCTAACAAAACCAACCAAACAAACCACAAAACCACACCCCCCAAAAAAACCCAAACAAAACACTCCCAAACATTTATCTCAAACTAATATTAACTTCCCTACCAACAGGAGACTCAGGTGTCAACCCCATGCTCTGAAGTAATGCTTCAGCTTCTCTTCTCTTCTTTTCAAGATCCGATTCTTCTTGTACAGGAAGAACTTCTTTCTTCTGATCAGTCTAAAAATAATTCAATAATTAAGTTATAGCATTTAACAGGAATTAAAAAGTGTTTCATTTATTTTTTTGATATCTCAAAGGGGTTTTTTTTAAGCTACTGAAACCTGTCATACAGGTTAGATATTTGACTCCAGTAATTCTGATGGTCCTTTCTGTAGATAAAGCAAGCAACAGACTTCATAAAATTTGTAGCTTTGGTACTGTCTTTAAAAGATATATATATAACATGGAAAAAGTGTCTTCTCATTTGTCAAAATGACTGACACTTCATAAGATCAAGAGTATCTTTTTTACACTAATGCTAAGCACTGTAAAATGCAAAGACTGAAAAAAAAAAAAGTATTACATACCTGTATATAAAAGTATTTTAAAGACACAGTCATATTGTTCCAATTTTGAAATTACAATAACTGTGTCAAAGAAAACACTATAGGGTTAGAATGACAGTAAGAGACATGCTTCTTTGGTCAAGAAAGTATTAGGACACTTGGATAGATAGAGCACATAAAGTGTGTAGCAATTAAGAAAATATGTGTAAGATGTAAAAGTGATGATTGTCTATGTGTGCACGTTAAGCTATTTTTTAAAACAAAAATGTCAACAAGCTGTTCAGTGAGAAAGCTTTCTTTTGAACCTCAGGTTTCACCAAAAAAAATAGGAAGTCTTAAAACACTTTGCAGTAACTTCAAGTTTACAGGGCATTTAAGTAGTTTTCTTTAAGTTGTGATATTATCTGCTAGATTTCACACACAAAAGAAGAATAAAAAGTATACCCCATCCTCATAATTTAGAACTAATACAGGCTCTACCATAGAAGATGCTGAACACTCCATATCTTTCCACATTCATTTAACCGCTCATTCAATTCCACAAATATAATTCATAGTTTAAGGTGTTCACAACTCAGACATTGGCAAATGAATAGCTTTGTAAATACAAATTGATGATACAAGTCTTTAATAGAAGTAGCAAGATCTAGACCAAGCTATTTTACCCCTACGCCCTGATTAAAGATTAATTGCTCCTCACATGACTGCACAATTCCTTTTAAAAAAAGGAAATTTTAGAGCAAGTTCCTAACTGATAAGCTATTGCATCACATGTGGAATCACAGATACAGGCAATACATTGTTACAAGATCATCAGAACATAATTTGAGATATTTCCCTCTCCTTTCTGTCTGAATCATGTAGCTGGCAGCTGCCCAGTCTTCAGTCATATGCTAATTTAGAACACCTACAAGATCACAACCAGACACAGAGAAGTCTTGAAAAAGTATCCCAAAATACCAAAACATTCCAGCAAAAGTTTCTTTCATGAGGTATAATCTGCATTCAGGAGAAACATAGTAATAATTCACTGACTGTCACATGCTTTAACAGAGAGAGACACAGAACATTGGTAACAACCCAAATCTGACACAGAAGTAGCATATACATCATGAGTGTTGCTCCGATTTCAAAATTCAGGCTAAAGATGAGTCAAAGAACAGAAGAATCTAGCATATTGTTTGTACAGTAATAATACTGAGAGTTAGACAATTCATATGGACATCCCCATATGCACTTCAGAAATGAGTTCTCTAAATAACAGCATCACAACTCATTAAGCAGAGCTATTGCGCAATATTTCACAGTGATTTGATTAATGATGTCCCATGCACACAAGCAGCTTTAGAAATCCAAACTTCATGCAAGTGTAGGATTTAAAAAAAAAAATAATTTAAATCTAACTTACCATATGGATAATTCTGGAGAAAACAGTAGGTGTTTGCTCTTATCAGAAAACAAAAGTGCTACATTTGCATCAACAACCAACCATTAAATAAACACTCCCTGAATGACATGTAGCAAATGATTAAGTGAACCTACCCCTACATTTTGGGCAAATTACATATGCAGCAGGCAAATTTCAATTACAAAATTATTTCTTACTTCTTTTTTCTTTCTTTCTTCCTCCTTTCTTTTCTTCTCCTCTCTGATTTGAGCTAATCGTTGCTTCTTCCGCTCCAACTCCGCCTTCAGTTCACTTTTGTCAGACATGGCTGAAATACTGATCAAAAGAAATCATACCACTGTTTGGAGTTGGGTTTTTTTTGGGTTTTTTTTTGTTTTGTTTGTTTGTTTTAAGTTAGCAGCTTTCTTTTAAAGAGGCTATCAATTAAATCAACTATACTAGCTTACCAAAACCAGAACTCTCAAAAGTCTTAAAATAATCACTATATATATAAAAAAAATCACATTCCTATTTCCACATTTCTTTCACTTAACACATTCTCAATATTAAAGGGATTGATTTAAAAGACAGAACTATGATATGGTGACATCTATTCCTAAGTTAGTTCTGACGCTGTTTGGAGGAACAGCTTTGAAAGAAATGTTAGGCACTGAAGATGGGGCTATCTGATCTTGCCATAGGATTCTGTACAGCTACAGAGCCAACTATGAGACTGAAAACAGCAAGAGAGTACCAACACAATATCTATCTTTTACTTTTCACTTCAACAGCTTAAATATTGGCACACTATAACTTAGTAGTACGTAAGCTATATACCTTTCCACATGCAGTTGTAGGATTCAAAATCTTTCAGAATTACTATAAAACGCAAGGCAAAGTAAGTACAAGTGTGATGGTCAAAAAAAAACCCTGTAAAATATGTGCATTATCAATTTTTCCCCAAACATTTTGTACCCTGGTAGAAATTGGTGGATCTTTTAAAGACAAAAATCCAACAAGAAGTTTTGCTACATAACTAACTCAATTAAATACAGACAGGAAGGTCAACAACAAACAAAAGGTAAAAAAACCACTTCAGAACTTAACAAAGATTTAGAACACAGGTCTGAAAAAACTGTGTGAATGGGCTGAGTGAATAAAAGCTTAATTTTGCTGGTTTTAAGCAAATCCAAGTCAGTAAAGAAAGTGCAGAAGTGGTTCTGTAACAGACAAGGGATCTATAAACGCTTTTACACTAAGTTTGATAGCAGATACTAGATTAAGCATTAGTAATATGACTAGTCACTAATTCAAAATTAAAACTACCTGCAAGTGTTTGCATAGCACATCTAAGCACAGAAAAGGATGGAAAATGATGCAAGCCTCACACATCTACATTAGGGTAAATGTATGTATTCCTCCATGTTGTCTGTAAACATTTAAGTGCTCATAAATAAATAAATAAAATCTCCTGTCGGCATTTTCAAATGGCATTCCCATGTCCCCTTAAAAGAGCACCAGGAAGGCACGTTGTCACCACACCACGGATTCCCGTCCCACCCGTCTCTCTAACGTCGAGCCAGGAAAGCAAAGCGGCACAATCCCAGCCATCCCTGGGACAAGAAGCGCCCACCCCACCTTAAGATGACAGCGGTACGAACCAGATGCCCCCAGGACCAAACTCCCCACCCAAATCCCACACGGGCTGTACCGGAGAGGGAGCCTGGCAGCGCACTCCCACCCTGACCGGACCTTACCACACCCTGAAACCCACAAGGCAGCACTACCAAACCTCCCCACCCCAAAACCCAGGAAAGAGCCACACTACCAAACCTTCCCCAAAGCCCACCCGTCCTCTCTCCCACTTAT